GCAGGGATGAGAATCTAGAAATATTTTTATTATGGCCAATATTCAGTAAAAGATATAAAATTCGGATAGGTAAAAATTCTGTAATCATGCAGCTTATTCCGTAAAAGATATAAAATGCAGCTATTAAATTCCGTAAAAGATATAAAACTAGGAAAGGTTAACATTTTATATTCATGCAGCTTATTCCGTAAAAGATTTAAAACTAGGATAGGTTAACATTTTGTAATCATGCAGTTTATTCCATAAAGATATAAAACTGGGATAGTTTACCGTTAACATTTTATAATCAATGCATGCAGCTTACTCCGTAAAAGATATAAAAATTGGGATAGGTTAGCAATTTGTAATGATGCGGCTTATTCCGTTAAAGATTTAAAATGCAGCTTATTCCGTAAAAGGTATAAAACTGAGATACATTTTATAATCATGCAGCTTGTTCCGTAAAAGATTTAAATTTAATGCTGCTTTTTCCGTGAAAGATATAAAACTGGAATAGGTGAACATTTTAAAATCTGCAGCTTATTCCGTGAAAGATATGAAACTGGGATAGGTTAACATTTTATAATCATGCAGTTTATTTCGTAAAAAATTTAATTAAAATGCAGCTTTTTCCATAAAAGATATAAAAATGAGATAGATGAACATTTTATAAAGATTTGAAACCGGGATATTCTAACATTTTATAATCATGCCCTTTCTTTTCGTAAAAAAAAAATAATAACATAAAATGCAGTTATTCCATTAAAGATCTATAATTGGGATAGGATAACTAGCCTAGGTCACGCAAGTCGTTTGACCCCCCACTCAAACGCCTTGGAGCATACTGTAGATAAAATTTTCACCACGGGGCGGCGCTGTTAAAGAACGTTAACTCTAAATTTATATTGCGACTCCGCTGAAAGTCATTAAATTTAAAAAGTAAATAAGCATATTCTGTCAAATATTCTATACATTTTCTTTTTTTTTAATTCAGCAAGTGATTAGAAAGTGTGTAGTTTAACATTTAGACTGATTATTATGTCATCTGCAAACTCCTACACCTGCATACGCACGGTGTGTACCAGATGACTAATGACCTATATAAATACGGCACACTGTAATTTATCTTCAACTTCAAGCATTATTTTCGGTTAAATAACGTATAACAGTGACTTCCCATAACCCGTAGCTAGCACTGCAAATATGTCAAACCTATTTGCTAATTTCTCAAGGTATACTTTCTGTGATGTTTTTTAAAGAAAAGTCGATTCTAAGATCAGCCAAAACTCTGCTGTCAAATGTTTATTTTTGTTCAACCAATCACAGGCTTTATCAAATTCTGGATAAGCCTCGTTATGAAGTAAAAATATTTATAGTGGAATGCTCCTAGACGTTTGGTGTGAGACCATGCATCGATGAAACAAACGTGTAGGTGACCTAGACTAATAGGATAGCATTTTATAATTATGCAGCTTAATCCGCAAAAGGTATAAAATGCAACTTGTTCCGTATAAGATTTGAATCTGGAATAAGTGAACATTTTAAAAATCATGCCGTTTATTCCGTAAAAGATTTTAAATGCAGCTTATTTATGAGTCAGTGGATTGAGATTTATTAGGTAAATTTTAACATTTAATCATCCATTCCAGCCCTCAAATCACGTTCATATGAACTTCGGGGAATCGAAACAGTATGATATTGGGTTTTTTTTTTTTTCATTTATACAGCAAGCAAACATATCTATCCGGTAGTGATAATAAACAATTTTTTCAAATGAAAGGCTTATTTGTATTTGTCAAACATAAAAAAAAAACTACATATTTGCTTGAGAAACATTATAAACATGCCTCTAGGAACTGAGTAATATTCAACTATTTTCCATTTGCTTTGATGGTATTTCCAGTATTCAAAAAAATATAACCCCGGTAATTAAATATCAGTTTAAATTCAAGGCCTACAAATAATGTTTTGTGCTTTGGTAGTATCTTTGAAAATAATTCAATTAACAGCTTTATCTTGGTCAGCACTAGCCATAAGCATCATGTTGATTAGCAATTTACAGTTATTGATATCTTGCAGTTTGATACAGACGAAATTACCACCATTATAACAAAACAAAAGATGATTAGGGAAAAGGTGTTAAACATCTGGCTTCATGCATTTATTACTGCTCCATTACCTTATTTTTACTAATACATTAGAAGTACCCCTGTATTACATATTAATTATTAAGTTATACTTATGAACATATGCAAAATAAAATACCAAATAAAGAAAATAATGTATTTACTCCATCAATTACAGCAAGTTGCATAAGAAGCTTTACTTGGAATGTTTCAAAATTATCTCATTATAAGTAGCATTGTCTTAATTTATTCAACAAATATGAAGAACTGCTTGGACAAATGCTGCTGACTCTATCAGATGGTCTGTGTTGAACAAATGCCGCTAAATGCCGCTGACTCTACCAGAGGGTCTGTCTTGGACAAATGCCGCTAAATGCCGCTGACTCTACCAGAGGGTCTGTCTTGGACAAATGCCGCTAAATGCCGCTGACTCTACCAGAGGGTCTGTCCTGGACAAATGCCGCTAAATGCCGCTGACTCTACCTGAGGGTCTGTCCTGGACAAATGCCGCTAAATGCCGCTGACTCTACCTGAGGGTCTGTCCTGGACAAATGCCGCTAAATGCCGCTGACTCTACCAGAGGGTCTGTCTTGGACAAATGCCGCTAAATGCCGCTGACTCTACCAGAGGGTCTGTCTTGGAGAAATGCCGCTAAATGCCGCTGACTCTACCAGAGGGTCTGTCTTGGACAAATGCCGCTAAATGCCGCTGACTCTACCAGAGGGTCTGTCTTGGACAAATGCCGCTAAATGCCGCTGACTCTACCAGAGGGTCTGTCCTGGACAAATGCCGCTAAATGCCGCTGACTTTACCAGAGGGTCTGTCTTGGACAAATGCCGCTAAATGCCGCTGACTCTACCAGAGGTCTCTCTTGGACAAATGCCGCTAAATGCCGCTGACTCTACCAGAGGGTCTGTCTTGGACAAATGCCGCTAAATGCCGCTGACTCTACCAGAGGGTCTGTGTTGGACAAATGCCGCTAAATGCCGCCGACTCTACCAGAGGGTCTGTTCTGGACAAATGCCGCTAAATGCCGCTGACTCTACCAGAGGGTCTGTTCTGGACAAATGCCGCTAAATGCCGCTGACTCTACCAGAGGGTCTGTGTTGGACAAATGCCGCTAAATGCCGCTGACTCTACCAGAGGTCTCTCTTGGACAAATGCCGCTAAATGCCGCTGACTCTACCAGAGTGTCTTTCTTGGACAAATGCCGCTGACACAACCAGAGGGTCTGTGTTGGACAAATGCCGCTAAATGCCGCTGACTCTTCCAGAGAGTCTGTGTTGGACAAATGCCGCTAAATGCCGCAGACTCTACCAGAGGGTCTGTCTTGGACAAATGCCGCTAAATGCTGCTGACTCTACCAGAGGGTCTGTCCTGGACAAATGCCGCTAAATGCCGCTGACTTTACCAGAGGGTCTGTCTTGGACAAATGCCACTAAATGCCGCTGACTCTACCAGAGGTCTCTCTTGGACAAATGCCGCTAAATGCCGCTGACTCTACCAGAGTGTCTGTCTTGGACAAATGCCGCTAAATGCCGCTGACACAACCAGAGGGTCTGTGTTGGACAAATGCCGCTAAATGCCGCTGACTCTACCAGAGGGTCTGTGTTGGACAAATGCCGCTAAATGCCGCTGACTCTACCAGAGGGTCTGTCTTGGACAAATGCCGCTAAATGCCGCTGACTCTACCAGAGGGTCTGTCCTGGACAAATGCCGCTAAATGCCGCTGACTTTACCAGAGGGTCTGTCTTGGACAAATGCCGCTAAATGCCGCTGACTCTACCAGAGGTCTCTCTTGGACAAATGCCGCTGACTCTACCAGAGGGTCTGTCTTGGACAAATGCCGCTAAATGCCGCTGACTCTACCAGAGGGTCTGTGTTGGACAAATGCTGCTAAATGCCGCTGACTCTACCAGAGGGTCTGTTCTGGACAAATGCCGCTAAATGCCGCTGACTCTACCAGAGGTCTCTCTTGGACAAATGCCGCTAAATGCCGCTGACTCTACCAGAGTGTCTTTCTTGGACAAATGCCGCTAAATGCCGCTGACACAACCAGAGGGTCTGTGTTGGACAAATGCCGCTAAATGCCGCTGACTCTTCCAGAGAGTCTGTGTTGGACAAATGCCGCTAAATGCCGCAGACTCTACCAGAGGGTGTGTGCTGGAGAAATGCCGCTTAATGCCGCTGACTCTACCAGAGGGTCTGTCTTGGACAAATGCCGCTAAATGCCGCTGACCCTACTTGAAGGTCTGTATTGGACAAATGCCGCTAAATGCCGCTGACTCTACCAGAGGGTCTGTCTTGGACAAATGCCGCTAAATGCCGCTGACTCTACCAGAGGGTCTGTGCAGGATAAATGCTGCTAAATGCAGCTGGTCTGTGCTGGACAAATGTGTTGGTATGATGTTGTTGGCCATGATTTTCGTGACTTCTTACATGAAGGAATAGCATTGTAAATCCCCCCCCCCCCCCCCAACGTTAGGGCTGGGCCACAATATGGGTAAAATTTTTGCAATTGAATAAACAGCGGAAAATATTTTGCTCAATAACAGCAAAGCCATTTGTTATATATTGATATGGAGGCATCATCAGGTTATGGTAAAGTTATAGTTTTAAACCCCCCTCTCCATGTAAACTCTTCATTACTGAACTGATTTTTGCTTTTTTTCCCTAGCCATTGTACTCAGGTGAGCGATGTGGCCCAATGGCCTCTTGTTAAAATCTTAATTTACAATTTATTTCACAGTGAAATGGAAATATGAGGAATCACTGTTTATATCATTAAATGACATTATTACATCTGATAAAGTATTAATATACATTAAGGCACGTAATAGAAAACATATTTATCGAAAATGCCAAGTTTGGGGGCGAAATGCCTAGTTCAGAAGGGGAAGAACTCCTGCAATGTGTCTGCAAAGTTTGATTTCGCAATACTCAACAGTCAGCCTCACTCACAGTGTTAACTGACTTTGCAGGTGAGTAATTCTAAACAGTTTAGCAGAATACTGTTATACTTATTATTTTGTTTCTTTCAGAAAAAAGACATCGCATGCATATTCGAAGATTATTTCTGTAATATAAACATGCCAGGGTATTCGGCCTACCATTTAATCAGTGATCATTGGTTTTGTTTGCTTTGGAAGATGTGCATTCATCGCTGGGGTAATAAAAGGGAGGAAACATATATTTTTCAATGGTCATGCTAAATCATCGTAGATCTCTGATCAGAAATTCACTTGTGCTGTCCATTATTGGGCGATATTAAGCAGGTCCAGCACAATATATAAGTTAGCTTGATTCAGTGTGTCCACTCGTGCCTGAAAAGCACTCTGGTATCATCAAAAAGACAGCATACAAGAACGTCTCCTCACATGACATGCTTTTATATACTGATTTCTTTGTGTTTGAGTACTTTACATGCATGAGTGAATGTACTGACAACAACTCAGAACTCGACTTTCAGTATTTGATTTTTTAAGAATTTTTTTTGAATTTTCATGACATCAAATACCGTGATTAAGGTATTGGTAAAACCTTGATAAAGCTATGAAACTATATTGTGCTGGACCTGTTAAGGTCACAGACACAGATGTTTTTTTTTAATTGCAGTTGTAACTTAAAATCTCTTCTGCATGTTCAGACAATGTTTGAGAAGTGGACAGGCTTTGGGCTACACCCAGTGGATGTAGGCGAAAGCCTGTCCACTTTTAGAGAATAAACTGTATAAGTATAAATGTACAGCTGCTGCATTCCCAATGTGTGATGGGTCCAGAATTATTTTATAACAGTGAAGTTCCAAAGGAAAAAAATGGAAAAGTAAAAAGAGAAAGGTTATCAGAATCTTGGATTTGGGAATTTGGTAAAGTTTTTTTAACCATGCCAAAATTGTTGAAAATATACCCCACATGGCCACTACAAGTGTCCATCACCAACACACAAAAAACCAAGAAAATCACCCCTTCCCTTCTCAGGATACAATAGTCCAAAATATCTGACGTTTCCCTGGTTATTTTACGAGTTAGATAATTTATGTGGTTGGCACGTAAATTATCAAAATCATGAAAGAAGCCTGGAAAACATCAGATATTTCGGACTAAGGAAATGATAGCAATTACAAAGCTTTGATAGTTTGATAGCACTAAGTTAGAACTAGATTTATAAATGAGGGATATAATTTTAAATCATTGTCATAAAGGCAAGTCTTGACCAATTTCTTTGAATTTTGTCTCATTAAATATTTGAATAAATACAATTTTTAGCAACAAATAATTTCAGATAAAAACTGTCACATAGTTGGAATAATGTATCCACATAATTACGTCAAAAAATTGCTAAAAATGCATGTCAAGCAAAATGGATTACCGGTAATCATTGACAAACAAGCTGGGTATACCCTCATTTTAAAACTAATTATCAAATCCAGTCTTAAGATATTGTTACTAAACCTAAATCTAAATCTTTAATTTGTAAAAAGGTATATTTCCATTGGAAATCCAGATTATAACCAAAGAAAACTGCACTGTTGTCTTACGTTTTGGAATTTTGTGCAATGTCTTGAGATGATCATTACCCAGATTTGACGTCATGTAGGGGACATAATTGAAAAATGATAGCATTTTTCAAAGTGAACTCATTTTGTTGTGTTCCCTTCAATGTTCATCAAATTGTGTGAATAAAATTGGACAGTATATGCAATGTTTATGGTGCATTTGTTATTATTCAAAATTCAATACATTATATTTTATATAACCATGAAATGGTATCATATATTATGGGACACCCTGTATTATCCCAAATGCGAGAAGGGGAAAATATTTAAATAAGATTTGGTATTCATTTTATAATCTGTATAAGCACCATTTACGAAAAAAAAATACTAATACTTTTATGGAGCTGAAATCCATGCAGAATCTCTTGTTCAGCTGATTTACTTGCAAATTATTGCTTCTGTGATTTGACGTTGAAGAGCGCTATTTCCCTTGATTCATTAAGTACCCACATAAAATAAGGAACACAATTGCTGTAATTGTATCACATTTTACTAAATGTTCATACTTTTGCCAAGAAGAGGCCCATGGGCCACAGCACTCACCTGAGTCACCCTTTTCCTGCTGGTATTATTTGAACAAACTTTAGTCTAGTCACTTTATGCACTACATCAGGATTGCTTGCATTTGTAACAAAAAGGGAGAAAATGTATGGCTGGACCTGGAATTGAACCCAGGACCCCTGCATCTCTAGTTAGGTGCTCTACCAACTGTATCCATGACCCAAACCATTACATTCCTCCCTCCTTAAATACTGTAAATCACTTTTTATTCGCGAGAACTTTATTTTCGCGTAATTACGCGAGACAGTGTATTTGCAAAATTTAATTCTCGCATATAATAGTATTCCTTAAGAATATATTGAGCAATAACCACAATTCGCAAAAATTTTGTCTCGCTAATCAAGAGTCAATAACTATCTCGCGAAAATAAGGTGTCGCGAAAATTTAGTGATCTACAGTAGTCTTCACCCAGAAAGACACAACTAAAGTTCTTATTACCCTCTGACAGGACTTTCACCTGCAATTCGAGAGGTGGTCAACGGCACCAAATCTGTAACAGGAAAGGAGAAAATGTATGGCTGGACCGGGAATCAAACCTGGGACCCCTGCATCTCTAGTCAGGTGCTCTACCAACTGAGCAATCTAGGCCAATATCCACGGCCAAAACCATTACACGTTAATATGGCTATTCATGAACTCATGTTCTTATTGTATAGAAGATATTTTTTTTTTAAGATTTATCTTCCGGTATAATATTCTCTATCATGGCCGTACTCTATCCCTAGGGATTAAAAACTTGAAAATTACTTAATGGACAAAGTTTGTAAATCGGTTCCTACTGTTCATGAGAAGCAATTTTTCCCCCTATACCCATGGTAAACTTTGATCATCAGATATCATATTATAAGAAAGATATTGTCTTATTGTGGCCTAATTAACCCACAGGCGCCTGTGTATTTTTTTCCAGCTAAGTGACCAGGTTAAAGCTTTTGGAGCAGGTCTATTCCCAAGTAACTATAAGCCCTACCTGGACCATTCTTGCATGGATGCATCTGGGGATGGACACTACTAGCCAGGGCTGGGCAAAAACATCGATATTTCGGTATATTGCATTACAATGACAAAAAATATTGTATTGCAATACGTTTTTGTAATATCGATATACCGGCAACATGCTTAGACTTAGGAATTCTAGCATTAAATATGAATAAAAGTTTTCAAAAAGGTTTGTGATTAAGCCAAACAGTAAGACAGAAGCTGTTATATGGGTATATATTTACATGAATAACTCTAATTAAATCAACCAGATTTTTTTCCTTGAGGTTACTACTCCTGGTTATGTTCATTCTGCATGTAAATTAAAGCCGATATAATAAGAAAATGTCATTTTAATTTCCGTTGAAAGTTTTGCAGTACATATCACAGTACAGTTAAAAATATCGCAATACGAAATCTCTGGCCAATACCCAACCCTGCTACTAGACTTGCTTCAGATGCTGGATTTGGCCTACATTTTCAGATGAGTAATCATATTATGTTTTTAGCTCACCTGAGCCGAAGGCTCAAGTGAGCTTTTCTGATCAAAATTTGTCCGTCGTTGTCGTTGTTGTTGTCGTCGTTGTAAACTTTTCACATTTTCATCTTTTTCTCAAGAACCACTGGGCCAATTTCAACCAAACTTGGCACAGAGTATCCTTGGGTGAAGGGGATTCAAGTTTGTTCAAATGAAGGGCCGCGCCCTTTTCCAAGGGGAGATAATCATGAATTTGTTAAAAATTAGGCATTTTTAAAAAATCTTCTCCAGAACCGCTGGGCCAGGAAAGATGAAACTCATGTGGAAGCATCCTCAGGTAGTGTAGATTCAAGTTTGTTCATATCATGACCCCCGGGGCAAGGGTGGGGCCAAAATGGCCGACCTAAGTTTTACATAGGAATATATAGGAAAAATCTTTAAAAATCTTCTTCTCCAGAAACACTGGGCCAGGAAAGATGAAACTCATGTGGAATCATCCTCAGGTAGTGTAGATTCAAGTTTGTTCAAATCATGACCCCCGGGGCAAGGGTGGGGCCAAAATGGCCGACCCAAGTTTTACATAGGAATATATAGGAAAAATCTTTAAAAATCTTCTTCTCCAGAACCACTAGGCCAGGAAAGATGAAACTCATGTGGAATCATCCTCAGGTAGTGTAGATGCAAGTTTGTTCAAATCATGACCCCTGGGGCAAGGGTGGGGCCAAAATGGCCAACCCTTGTTTTACTTAGGAATATATAGGAAAATTCTTTAAAAATCTTCTTCTCAAGAACCACTGGGCCAGGAAAGATGAAACTCATGTGGAATCATCCTCAGGTAGTGTAGATTCAAGTTTGTTCAAATCATGACCCCCGGGGCAAGGGTGGGGCCAAAATGGCCGACCCTTGTTTTACATAGGAATATATTAGAAAAATCTTTAAAAATCTTCTTCTCGAGAACCATTGGGCCAGGAAAGATGAAACTCATGTGGAATCATCCTCAGGTAGTGTAGATTCAAGTTTGTTCAAAGCATGACCCCCGGGGCTAGGGTGGGGCCAAAATGGCCGACCCAAGTTTTACATAGGGATATATAGGGAAACTTTTTAAAATCTTCTTTTCAAGTACTTCAAAGCAATGATTAGTGATATTTATATGCAATCATCTTCAGGTAAAGTAGATTCTAATTTGTTCAAATGATGAACGCCTGGAGGGGGGGGGGGATAAATTCAAGCCCGATGTGCTCAGGTGAGCGCTGTGGCCCCTGGGCCTCTTGTTGGAGTAGCTCTTTAATTTTATGACCTGTTATGATTTAATTTGCATGGATGATGCATCTAAGGATGGAAAATCAAGACTTGCTTCGGATGCTGGATCTAATCTACATTTTCCAAATGAGTGACCAGGATAAATTTTTTGGAACAGGTCAATCCCCAATGAACATTAAGACCTAGTTAAACAGAAAATGCATGAGTATTGTTGCCAGGATAAATACCAACTATTAAGAAAATATGATGTGAGGTATGCATTACTTAAACTGATAACATTCGTCATGGTGAGCTTCGAAATCTTTGGTTACCGTACTACTCCTACAGTTTTTGGTCTGGTTAGTCACCACACAATGACCTATACATGTGAATTATACTAAAATGCTTGACTTTATTTAAAGTGCACTGCAGTAGAGATACAGTGTTGTCAGAGACTTCTCACTGGTTATTCATTATTTATAATTTACATAAATTGTTTATTTCCTTTTGTGATATTGGGTTTTAAACATGACTGTTACATGTAAAAAAAAATTCACATGTATTTAAGGGAAGGGAAAAAGAAAGAACTTAATCAATATTACTCATAGGATGACATGTCCAAGAGCACAGCTAGTACAAGTGTTATTACCCAGAACAAAACAGATAAGTACTGGTACTTCCTTTTGAATATTTATTGCCTATTGACAAATCTGAGCATTACACACTGTAAGTTGGTTGTCTTTTTCTTGCAGCCATAAGTCATGTCTGACGAGGGTAAATGTATAATTGTGTTATTTGGTGGTGGCTTCCTGGTGGTAGGTGGTCTCCTCGTCATTCTGCTGCCTATGAGCTTCAGTGGCCTGGAATATTATGAGGTATGTATGTAGCTTATGCTCAGGATTATATATAAATGTATACATATTTGAATCACTTATTCAAACTGCTTTTATTTTGTCTTTACACTCAGGGTTGCCCATGAGACCCAGAGGCAGGGGAATTTCCCTGCCTGTAATGATGTAATCCCCTAGTTACTGTAAACCAAGTTTTATTCGCGTACAAAAGATTTTGGCGAGGTTCGGAAGAGCTCTGTTATTGCAAATATTTCTCGCTGTGAACCGGTCCAATCAGATCCAAAATAGGCTTGATTGCAAAAATTAATCATCGCGAATTAGTTTATACCCTGTAATCACGAAATAAAGTTGTCGGGAATAAAAGTTGGTTTACAGTATTCTGGTATTCTCCCTCCAACACAATTAGGGGGGAACTTAAGACTCTCTTCTACTTAATGGCCCTTAGCTGCTATATAAATTCTTGTGGACAACCTAAATACCATTTCCCTAATCATGTTTTAATTTTTTATGAAACCTTTTTTCCTTTTACTATTTATTATGTATAAAAAATCAGTTTTAAATAAACTATTCAATATATTTTCATCAAACATTATATAAAAATTTTCATGTAGCTCAACTTATGAACCTTGCGTGAAGCATTCATTTTTATGGACATACGTGTGTATTTCTAGTTTACTTTTCCTTTGATAGTATGGTTTTGTTAAGCAAAAGAGTACAGGGACAGTAAATCTGGATTCTGTATATGCTTTGGGGAAACACTTCCTAGGACCAGACTATGAATTTAAGGTGTTCCAAGCTGATGCCCATCACTTGACCCTGAAGAGGATCAAAGCTTTTACTTCCGACAGACTGGAGGTAAATATGGATAAAAATTGTAGAACAAGTCTCGGTTTTCATTATTTTTAAAGATTTTTTTTGTTTTGTTTGATTTTTTGAAGAAAAAAATCCTATTTGTTTGTTTTTCACCTTTTCTTCAATGTCATAGAACTAATATATGCAAACCTGTAAAAGGTAAAGTGGCAGTTTTGTTCATTTCTATATTTATACTGATACCTATAAGTAACCGTTCACACTGATATGAACATCTTTATATTGCTAGGTACAGGTAACTGTTCATCTGCAGTATTTCTTGAGGAAAGAGGACCTGCCTGCTCTCCACAGACGGTTTGATGTGTTTTATGAAGACATCATGAAGAGTAGTGCTATAGATGCCGTAAAAGTAAGGTTCTATCCAGAATCAAACCTCTGCTTAATTTTTAACTCACCTTGACAAAGTCGAGATGAGCTTGTGCTATACCCCCGGCGTTGGTGTAAGTGTTGGCTTCCCAAGTAAAAGTTTTAGGAGCAAGTCCATTCCCAAGGAACGATAAGCCCCACCCGGACCAAACTTGCATGGATGATGCATCTAGGGATGGACAGTACCAGACTTGCTTCTGATGCTGGATGTGACCTTCATTTCTAGATGAGTGACCAGGTTAAAAACGCTGGATTTGGCCTACATTTTCAGATGAGTAACAAGTATAATGAGTTTAGAATAGCTCTTTAATTTAATTGCCAGTAATGATTTAACTTGTTTGGATGATACATCTAAGGATGGACAGGCAAGACTTGCTTTGGATGCTGGATCTGATTTCCAAATGAGTGATCAGGTCAATTTTTTTGGAACATGTCAAAGAACATGCATGAATATTGTTGTCAGGATAAATACCAACTATTAAGAAAACAAATATAATGTGAGATTTGCATATCTTAACCCGATAACATTCATCGAGATGATTTGTAGTCTTTGATTACCTATGTTTATGTGGTGCATAAGATCCACTGTAGAGGATTTTTTTTCAAATTTTTTTACCCTCACTCTCTCACACTTGCAAACATTTTCTCCCAATGGTAAATACACTGAGATAAGTGGTATTATAGAAATGACTGTCTTATGAGTTTTCTACTTAAGGGCATAAAGGGCAAAAAAGTGTGAGTCCTAAAAGTTTCCTTGTCATAAAGAATTGCTTTTTATTTATACTTAATGTAAATAAAGCCAACGTGAAAAGTTTTACAAACATTTTTTTTTCCAAAAGAAGAACATTTCTGGTCTTTATTCAGATATAATAATTATATTCATTTTAATATATAATTAAAGGAGTATATAACATAGATATGACCACTTGTATGCTATGTGTTCATCATTGTAATATTGTATCTTATTCCAAACACTGAAGATGAATTCACATGATGGTACATTATTGTGTTCCTTTTTAGGGTGCTGTTACTATATATACCAAGTGGGAGCTGATCTCAGAGCGAGTTAAAGTGGAGGAGGATTTGTACAAAGCGGTCAGGGAACGTCTGGGGGGTACCTGCTGCCAGGATGACTGCAAAGCCTGGAGATTTGGTATTGATTTCAGTGTTAATAGTATTTAATGAGTGTTTCAATACCTTTGGTACATTATTTTTTAAAAAAAAGGTAACTATTGGAAATATTTATGAACATGGCTTTACCAGTCAGGGGCATAACTTAAGTTATTTTCAAAAATAACTCAAATGAGTTATTTTTTTATCTCAATGAGTTACTTCTCTTTGCTATGACCTACTTTTCCCCAGCCTTAATAACTCAAACACATTATTTTTCCAAAATAGCTTCAATAATTTAATAACTTGTTTAAGTTATTTTGTGTCATTCCTCCCTAACTTCACACCCCGTGCGCCAAAGGATTTTGCTCGTGCACCAAGACAAAAACAAATGTTTGACTAAATTTAAACCTTGCTCAATGCAGGAAAAGTGTTCAAGGTCTTGGGAAAAGTGGGGAATTTTTTTTATTTAATGATAAAAATTGGACGTATACACCATGTGGATAAAACCACAAAATAAGGAGTAAAATGCTGTTTATTATGGAACGCCAAATTAACATATATTCAAATATTTGTACCTATCTTCAATTAATTGTACCTATCTTCAAATGAATTGTACCTATCTTCAAATGAATTGAAGATAGGTACAATTGAATTAAAGATAGGTACAATTGAATTAAAGATAGGTATAACTGAACTGAAGATAGGTATAAATAATTATACCTATCTCTAAATAATTATACCTAGGTACAAATGAATTATACCTATCTTTAATTGAATTACACCTATCTTCAATTCAATTAAAGATAGGTTCAATTGAATTACACCTATCTCTAATTCATTTGAAGATAGGTATAATTGATTTAAAGATAGGTATAATTGATTTGAAGATAAGTTCAATTAAGACATATCCACAAAGGATTTGAAGATAGGTACAATTCAATTATACCTAGGTTCAATTCGAATTATGTTGCTGGTAAATAATGAACGCTCCCTTGGAGACAATATTGAGTATGGAGGGAAATGCAAAGAATCTACAGAGCGACAACAACAAAGGATGAAAGGAGAAATAAAGATTAATTTAAAATCTGCAAAAAGCATCATATACTTATAAAAATACGCATGTATATCATGTTGGAATATCTTGTATTGCAGCCAGATGAAGATTCTGAAAAACTTTCGCGCCAGCTGTGACGTATCGGAAATGACGTATGATAAAAGGAGTAGTTGTTATTGCCAATATCTTGGTAATTAAAGATAGGTTCAATTCAATTGTACCTATCTTTAAATCAATTATACCTATCTTCAATTCATTGCATTTGTACCTATCTTCAAATCAATTGTACCTATCTTCAAATGAATTAAAGATAGGTATAATTGAATTGTACCTTTCTCTAATTCATTTGAAGATAGGTATTATTGATTTAAAGATAGGTACAATTCATTTGAAGATAGGTACAATTATTTGAAGATAGGTACAAATATTTGAATATACAGTCAAACCTGTTTTAAGAGGCCACCTTTGGGAAGTCTGGAAACTGGCCACTTAAGACAGGTGGCCTCTTATTCCAGTTTGCCCTCAAAATAGCCAGTCGGTCAATAAATAATCAACATTAAGCACTACACTTAAATTAATTACTCGGAAAATTAAACAGGTAAATTTCACAGGTAAAGTTTTTTAGGTGTATATATATTAATTCATGCTCAAAAAAAGAAGAAAAGAATTAAATAATTCAAAATTGTTACTTGGTTTGTGCATGTTTCTGTTTCTCCATATCAGTTAAACGTCATACATTCTTCAGTGGGATTTTTTACATTGAAATATTAAGTAAACTCTTTTAATGAGCATTTGAAGAAATACATGTGCTTTACTATTACCTCTTTTTTATTTAAAAAAAATAACACACACTTAAATAAAAAGACAGTTTAGTTGTAAATAAAATAAATTCTAGAAATTTATTTAAGTAAGTTCAAGTAATGTTCAGCAGTGTAACCCCCCCCCCCTTTAATTAATCGGCAATTACCTTACTTGCTGGAGTTTTTAAGTCTGGTCTTTGTTATTATATAAAGCAGTCAGAATTTCTATGTTATATAGATAGGCACACAAATAAGATTAACCTGTTGACCACAGAGTTGTATTTACGCAGTTGAAAATTATTCTACAACACAGGTGTCCTGTGCAGTAGAGCATAACTAATCCCTATCGATCGTCTCTTGATAGTGAAATTCACGAGATAATCATGCACTTTGTTTTCACAAGAGTAGCAATTAGGGTTTCTACATGGAATCAAAATCTAAAAGGTGTGAAAATATCGATAGCCCTGTATTAGTCCACATACCCTCAGTAAACATTCAAGGTAATGAATTAATCGAAAAGTACAAAATCTAGTAGATGTATTAGCTTTAAGATTGAATTTCTTTAGCTCTGGAAAATTATTAATTATAATTCAATTCTTTTAAACTTTCATCTTAAAAAAATAATTACAAAATGGTCTAACAGGAGAGAAATTTTTTTTCATTAAGACAAAGAGTTCAGCGTTTCTAATAATTTGTTTAATTGCTTTAATAGGTTAAATTGACTATCTAGCATATAATTACACGTACCCAAGCGAATGTGTTAAAAAGACGTGATAGAAACGCAACAAGTGACAACATGATGGACTATTACAGTGTCAATAAGGCTTTGAGTGATGATTTGACTGGCCGCTGGCCGCATTACACAGGTGGCCGTTTATTCCAGTTAAAATTTATAGTAAAAGTCGTCGGGGGGAACTGAAAGTGGCCGCTGACCGCGAGTGGCCGCTGATTTCGAGTGGCCGCTAAGACAAGTTTGACTGTATGTTAATTTGGCGTTCCATAGTTTATCTCCACCTCCTCACCAATTCTCCATTGGAGTCGGTGAACTCCATCTAGTATTACATAATGGAATCCCAAAATGCAATGCAAATTGGCAGAAAACACAAAATTTCCAAGAAATCAAGTTATTTTTAAAAAAAAATTTGTGTGTGTAAAATAATGTAAAATAACTTATTTAAGTTATTTTTTTTATAACTTGTTTGAGTTATGCCCCTGACTGTTTACCTAGAATATTAAGTTTGCAGTATATCAATTCACCTTTGACAAGCAATAGCTTTGTTTTCAAAAATAATTTTTTTATAAAAATTAGGAAAAAAAACTTGTTTAAAAAAGTTACCGGTAATGATACTTATTCATGAGTTATATCTAAAAAAAGATTGATTATATTAAAATATTTATGGATTTAATTCAAAGAAATGAAATGATTCTGAGCATACTTCAACCTGCATTGTTTGCTTCCCAGCTTGTCCCCCTGGCTGTAAGAGGAAGGATCTGTGTACAGAGGACCACAAAGGGGTGTTTGCTGATGTCAGGTTCTTCCAGATGGGTGAAGTGTACATACCCCGAGATGTGGAGGTAACCTTCCTCAGGCAACTTACTCTGAAGGAAGACTCTGAGCGAGAGAAACTCCTACAGAAAGCTCAATTAGAAAGAAAGATCACATCCAAAAAGGTATCACAGTGTGATAAGAAAAAAAGAGTGAAAACAATATGCTCCCAAACTTTCTGCAAAGTCTTATAAATTTTTAATAAAAGTTGGGGGTCTACAAAAAAGGATTTTTTATATGTTGATTCTTTGGGCAGCATTTCAGTTTTGATTTTCCCCTCATGATCTCTGAACAAATCATACGTTCAAAGTTTGAACTGTTTCCTGTGCCTTTAATTTAATATTTTTAACATACCAGATGTGTGCTGGCTGCAACACTTATAGTAAGTGCAGTGGGTGTCACAAAAAAGTTCCTTGCACTCATTACTGCAGTGATTCATTTTGCCCTGCGTATTGCGTAATTTACGCATTAAATTCATTAAATACCCATTGGTTTTTGTCCAGTGCGTCCCGAATACGCATAAGTGATAACCCGCATAAAACAGAATCGAAGTTTCCAGTTTCTATTTTTATCGTTCATTCTGTTTTTCGGAACAACTGCAACACGTTTTAGCATACTTCATATTTCATTTGTCTTCTATAAATCATTTAAACAAAAGGCTTAAAGTATAAGATACGGTAAAATTACATTTAACAAGTGTTTTTAATTGTTTAATATGTCGTAATTAACACGCTGACACAGTATACGAAAGCTGGTCATAAACCGTCCCGATTTTTAACAAAGAAAATATTAATAATCAAAGCAAATTATAAGGACAGTAAAAAATCAGTGATCTAACTGTAAAAACATTGCTTTGGAGTTGGTAGATACTTAATTGCCTGGAGGGGTGTTGGGAGATAATTATCAAGTGACCAGCGCACATGTTTAAAACATTGGCTTCCTTTCATTGGTACGTAGAGAGGGTGTTTATGTTGCAGTGAATTTTCACTGAGTTATTTACAACCTAAAATATTTTTTTATTATTGTATTTAAAAAAAAAAGACATTGCTTTGTCTGATTATTACGGAAGGAGTGAACGTCTAAAAATAACATCGGTAATGGCGGCCTACACGGAGAGTCGGGGAGACAATAAACATGCAGCTCAAATTAATTTTAACTTGCTTTTTCATGTAATTATAGTATCAAAAGGTTATGAAAATGACATTTTTAACAAGCATACATGTACTTTCCAACAATAAATTCCGAAGTTTATATTAAAATATGGCGATAAACAAAAGAAGTTACACATGTCTCTATATGTAATAATACGGTATGTACGTATGATAGCCATGTTTCACCTGAAAGAAAAACATATGAAAATCCCATTTTCATGTAAAGTATGCGCTCCTTTCTTACAGAAATTTATTTTAGGAAAAAGTGTGTATTATATTCCGCCAAATACGGTAACTGAAGAAAAAAACTTGGCTTAATATCACATTCATAGTTGTTAAAATTCTGACCCATTGATTTTGAGTTCTGACCCATTGCTGTCTGACAGAGGGGTACACTGTACCCATTCATTCAATTTTCAAAATGAATCACTGTAATACTGTATTTTGGCTCATATTCTTGCACAGGCTAAAGAAAAGTTCACAAATAAATACAGTGTAGGTATCTCACTTATTTGAATTGCTAAATATTGCCTCTTCATATTTGCACAATGAAAAAGCAATTAATATTTAAGTTGAGTCATGTGATGTCAGAGTTCAAAATGAAGAGGCAGATCTAAGTTTTAACTAATAGGTATAAATATTTTGTAACTTAAATGAAATTGCTCTCCCTATCATGGCCCCACCTGCACTTTCAACATATAACAATGTACAGTACTATTATACTAACTTGTTTTTAGGTCCAGAAGTATAAGAATGAAGCTCAGGAGGCAAGAGAGGTAGGCCAGGCCGAGTCTAACCTGATCAAAATCACGTCCAGTGCTAACTACACGGTCACTATAGAGGGCGCCCGCAGTCGAGGCCTGACTACCCTGTACCGAGACCTGGGAATCACCAACCAGATCCATAAAAACAGCTTTGACTATTTGCGTACCCTTAGAGGACTCGACAATGTCTGGTTAACTGTGGATTTCAACCAAAGGATTGTGGGTAGTTTTGGCAATAATTAAAGGTTTTTTTTTACCCATTTTTAAATATTCTTAATGATTGAAGTTTGTTGATTAGAGTGCTTCTGGTGATGCCTTTTATGTAGACATTTTTAAATGAAACCTGAGTTGTAAAAACATAAATTGTTTAGCCCTGTATTTTTGAGATGTATTTTACACTAGGTACTGACTGTAAACATTATACAACAGAAGCAGTGCAATAATTTGTCTACATTTTTTCAGGCAATTCATTCAGAATTGCTCTGAATAAGATATTTTTATGAGCTGAAAAAAAACAACAACAAAAAAAAATCCCCAAAATAATGTATTATAAGACTTGAACAAAAACTAAACCTTAATTTCATTTATTTGACATGGACTTGCACCATCCAGTTGATTTATTAATAAAGATTTTTTTTTGTATACGTTTGTAAATAAGATTGTATCTTTTGACACATGTATTTGATTATATCTTAATACATACCATTTTGTTTTATTCCAAAGAATTTGTTTCACATTTTTTAGATTTAAATTTATTTATCTTAGATGTTTTGTAGAGTCTCAATGAAATGTAAAGTGTGATTCATTGAACATATTCAATTTTTGTTGTCTTTATTTCAAATACTTTGTATTAGTTGGCCTAGCCTTGATTGATGTAATTTGGCCTTGCCTCAAGTTGATTGAAGTTTTTTTTTTTTTAAGTTGACCCCAACATTATTTAGTATTACGAGTCATTGTACTTTAATATACAACTTATTGATTATACTTTACATTTGCTTTTATATCTTTCATGTTTTTGATACTCTCTACCTCTTATACATGCATTGGTGTTCGCTTTTCATCTGTTTAATATTTATTGATGAATTAGGTTTAGCTTTACCTATTATGACACTTGTATAGGTACTTTCCAATGTCTGTATTGCAGTTGCAGTGAAATGCAGATACAAGTTGTTTACTTGATCAATTTGGAATTTCCCAAATGATTAATTAATTCTTCTACAATTTCTTTCTAAACAGATTTCATGACTTTAATTTCAAGTCCAAGTTTTACTTTCTAAAAGTACAAATTAACACAGCTACAGTCTCAACACAGATTTTTTTTTTTTTTGTCTTAAACCCTTTTTCTTTTAATAAGTCATTATTTGTGAAATGTTTTCAACTTCTAATTTTCTCATGTTGAAATTTAATGATACATTGCTTTAGTTATTCAAAAGCAATACTCAGAGAGTGTTTATTTGTTTGTTTGTTTGATACTTGTTTTTTCCTGTTGTAGATTGCCTTTTATTTATTTTAAATAATTTTTCCAAAAAAATAAAGGGATGAATGGAATACATGAGAGCTGGGTTATGTCCTCACCATTAAATGTAAAGCAGATCTTGTACATGATACATGTTTGTTTTGAAGTTAATCATAAATGCTTAAAAAACAGAATTAAGAGTTGAATTCAAGAAAACAGAGCAGCATCTGCAACGTGTACAGTCATTGTGCTACAATCTTAATTATTCTTATTAGAACAACTACCTTAACAAAGCATAAGTTGCCTTGATCTTTGTACATTTTTCCAGTATTTGTTTGTGTGTTTCATATTAATTTTGTAAAGGTCATACGAAAGGAATGGCATACACATGTTTAAATTGTTAAAGTCCCAATCAACAAGAACTTTTGTTTTTCAGAGAATTTTACATGTATTTTCTTGTTACACTCTTTTGATTGTGTCAAGTATTACCATTGGGTATGAAAGGTTGTTTATTTGGTTGTAG